TGGTGGTATGCACTGCACATCTCTTAATGGTGGTATGCACTGCACACGGCCTAACTGGTGGTATACACTGCACATCTCTTAATGGTGGTATGCACTGCACATCGCCTACTCATAGTATGCACTGCACGTTGTGTACTGGTGGTATGCATTGTGTTCTGCATTCCAAACATGCATTCACCAATCTGACATCAACTAGACAAATAACAAATACTGTGTAAATAACCCTTACCATTGGATGCAGTAAAATCTATAGCAACTGTGAAATTGAGTTGAGTTCCTCCTCTGATGTAATCCAAAAATGAATGCTGTGGTTCCACACTACAACTCAGTAATGTAATCATGCCAGAATGCTTATAACTCTTCTTCTTTTTCTGTTTTACTTTATTAACACACTACGGAATACAACAATACTGTCATGTCAACGTGTATTATTCACTGAAGAAAATATAATTGTTCTCCATCATAAAACTATAATTGTAAAAGCTTAAATATTTTGATGGCAGGTGACAGACATTTCACTCTCTTGGTATATAGCACATTTTGCCACAAAAAGCATATTCTACATGACAAGGATTGAGATCATTTCCTGGCATAATCACATTATGGAAACTTAATGTGCTATCCCAGGATCAACTAGGCTCAGTTGAACACAAGATTCTTAATACAGTTTCTCACAAAGTTTTATTCATTTGTTAATGAATCTTGGCCAGTAGCTTGGTTTCTCCAATGATTCTATATCACACAAAATCAGGATAGCAGTCCGCCCAGTTTTGGTGTACCACTAGAAGGATTTGTACTTGGGTTTATCCATATTGGATATGATAAAACAGTCTATTGGTATTACTCCAAGGATAACTAACTTTATAATTCATATTAACAAAATGCGTAAATTAGTACTTTACATTAATATTTGGTGTTATTTAGTGGATTGATTAACTGCTGACCTCATAATGGTTTCCAGCTCCTGGACCTTGTGATAACTGCCGTAGACTAGTAGTAAACTCACCAATTATTTCATGACTACAACAAAATCAAACTGGTTATTTCTTGGTTATTATAATAAGATACTGAGGTATAAAAAAAATATGCATCCAGGACATTTTTGGAATCATGCAGAAAAATATTTATTTCCATTCGGAAAAGTTTATATATTTTGATATTTTCTCAAAGCATTTTCTATCATGTGTATATTGTTCCCCCAAAAAATAAACATATTTTACTTCATGTACTATCTCAGATGTGGAAATAAAATATAGAATGCATCTGTTTTGTCCATGTGCATTGTGAGATGAGTAGCCATCAAAGTTCTGAAAACATTAAAATGAGAAAACAAAATTTTAAATCAAAATAATAAAAGTGATGTACTATTGCACATACCTGCCACTACTATTCCAGTCATAACACTCCACTTTAATAGTCCTATCATAGTCACCATTACATAGTGATCTAACCATTATACTAAATGGTTTCCAATTAGGATTCAATGTGTTTTTAATCACCTCGGTCTTGTGACAAATTGTGTACCTGAAAAAATCATTTCACAGTATATTCAGAGTGGATAATGTGCAGAGTCAAGAACACAAATCTATGATTGATAATTAGGTTGGACAATTTTTTAAAAATACTTACGATCCATCCTCATTACATCTATAAAACACCAGAAATGGATCTGATTTACCAAAGAAATCTTTTTTATCAAGTTTTTCTCCTTTGAACTGCATTGTCACTAAATCCTGTGGGGGAAACAAAAATAGTGAATATTATTACATATGTACTGCAGTTTATTTTGATTCGTCCCTGAAATCAAAATCGGTATTTCCACAACCCATATGCAAATGAGGTCTGAGAGCAAACAAAGTAGTCCCTTCTGGAGTACAGTTTTTCGAAATAAACAATATTTAGAAGTATGATATTTTCCCCTTGGGGTACATGAATATACTTGCCGAGTGAAATGAAATTTGAACAACAGTAATGATACTTTTAGGCAGTCACTTATTTTGGCCCAAACTAATTTGCATATCACCCATGCAATAATGTTTTTGGTATTTTCACGGTCTATATGCAAATGAACATGGTATTTTCATTGGCTACCGAACTATTTTTATTTTGTAAACACATTTTCGTCTGCTATTTTTATCCAGTTCAAATCGTTCAACAACATTTTTGGCATGTCAGGTGTACATCACATGGAATACTACGATTGGGAGAACTTAATGTATATTGACCACC